GGGGTTGAACTCAGAGGACCTTGGTTGCCAGGCAGGTGTGGTGCCACTGAGCTACACCCCTGGCCTGGAAGCACCTTTTGTTGAAAGGCAGGAGCTTGGACCCCTGGAGAGCTCAGGGGGAGCAGAACGTAGGCCTGGTGCTTTCTGCCTCCAGACCCACTCCCTGGGTTCCCAGTCTCTCCAGCAGAGTGGCTTGAAAACTTGGGCTTCGTGATGTGTGGTCAATTTTTACATGCGTGGCTGGTAAACCTACCATGTTCTGTTAAATGTGATTTTTTTTTTTTTTTTGGTACTAGGGATCGAACTCGGGTCCTTGTGCTTTTGGAGCAGGCAGCAGAACCACTGAGCTAAATCCCCAGCCCAGACTTTGTGTTGTTTTTGAGACAGGGTTTCACTAGGGAGCCCAGGCTGCCCTCAAACTCACGGCGATCCTCCTGCCTCAGCCTCCTGAGTGCCAGGATGACAGGCGTGCAACACCACACCTAGCTTCATATGATTTCTAAAAAGCAAGTTTATTTTTTAGAGTAGTTATAGGTTCACAGCAAAATTAAGTAGAAGGCAGAGAGATTTCTTGTCTATACCCTGTTCCCACATACACACAGCCTCCCCCGTTTATCGCCTTCCCCCGGCCAGTGCCAGTGTGAGGTGTTTGTTGTAACTGGTGACTCCACATGCAGTTGCTGCCTGGATCTGGGTTTACACTGGGGCTCACTCCTGATGGTGCATTCTTGGAGTGTGGACTCACGAGTAATGACAAGCACTTCTGATTCCTTTTCCTCCACCCAGGGCCCAGTCCCTGTTTGTGTGTATGTGTCATGCTGTACCAGAAGTGTCTGAACACTTATTTGGAGAGTTTGCTAAACACTAGATCATGTGATTTGATGAGATGCCTTGTGCTGAGAAAATCTAGTTTGTAAAAACCTCAGCTGGTGCATGCCTGTAATCCCAGCACTTGGGAGGCTGAGGCAGGAGGATTACAAGTTTGAGCCTGGGGAACTTAGCAATTTATTGAGACCCTCTCCCAAAAAATAAAGAAAGGCCTAGGGATGTCGCTCAATGCAAAGGCTCGGGTTCAATCCCCAGAACCTCAAAACCAAAACAAAAAAAACCTTGCATAGCATAGTAAAGTTGAGGGCCTCTTTCTTTTTGGGCAACTCTGTGTCTTGGGTCCGGTGAAGCTGAGCTCTTCTTGTGTCATAAATCAGGATCGAGGTGCAAGAAGACTCTTTCTCCCAAACCCATAGCCAAGCTGAGCTGAGCTGTCCCCTCCCAGCCAGAGCCGGGGCTCCTTGAGGCTGCGTCTGACGCTCACCCATGGGCACCGCTGGTTTCCGGAACTGGCTGGTGTCATCTTGGTGGCAGGAACAGAGGTGGTTTGCCAAAGTGTCAGCTGAGCGAACCTGTCTTCTCATTAGTGTGACCCCCGTCCCTCAGCATGACAGCAATTAGTGGGCAACTTTTCCTTTACCCCACGGTGCCCACTGTTCATATAATGAAGCCCCTCCTGCATTGGGAGGGGAATAACAGTGGTACCGTCTGGGCCCTGCTCTTCTTGGAAGTGTTACCGAGGAGAGAAGCTGAGCATAGGTCACCCGTGGGTGGGTGACAGGGTTCGGTCACAGCCCCCGTTGGCCCCTGCTCTCCTGCCTCTGTGTGATTGTCACAGATAAAGACCTGGGACGGTGAAGGCTGGTGGGACAAAGAAATAAAATCCCCTTACTGTACTGTGTAGAGGTCAGCATCGCTAACATTTTACTCTTCCCCGATGACCGTACCCCTGGTTACAACATGAATCACATCAAATTCCCCTGCACACCAGGGGCAGTGGTGCTTACCTGTGATCCTGGCACTCTGGGAGGCTGAGGCAGGAGGGTTGCAAGTTCCAGGCTGGCCTGGGAAACTCAGAGTGAAACATAGAAAGGGCTGTGGGTGTAGCTCAGTGCCCAAGGCCCTGGGTTCGATGCCCAGTAAACCAATCACCCCAAAACAAATCGTGTTATATATATGTATCAAAATACATAATGAAACACTTTAGCAGCTGCATGATACTCCAGTATGGATTATAACATATTCTACTGAAACCCCTGTGTTGTTGGGCATTCTGTCATTACTGACATTGTGTTTTCTCTCATCTTTTTATTGTTGCTTTGGAGACAGGTTCTTGCTGTGTAGTTCAGGCTGGTCTGGAGTTTGCTGTGAGCCTCCTGCCTCAGCTTCTGGAGTGCTGGCATGACAGGTGTGGCCATGCCCAGTTCAGAGGGCATTAGGGAGGACAACATGCAGCAAGCTCTGTGAAGCCCTAGCAGGTGCCTGGCACATAGTGGGCACTCAGCAGACCCCCCAGGGATAACAGGCTCTCCCGGGCCTCAGCAGGCACTTCCGGCTGCACTTCCAGCTGCACTTCTGCCTGTAGGTGTGGCCTTCTGCTGGGGCAGTGGCCCTCACTGTCTGTCCTGGAGGCTGCAGATCGCCCTGTCTCTGGGGTTGATAGACGGCCAGCCTCCTGCTTTCTTTTCCTGGCATCCTCTAGGGTGACAGCCCTGGCCGCCCTGGCCCTCTTTCCCACTGGGCCTTGCCTGGGCCCCATGGTTTGGAACGGGCAGAGGTGCCAGTTCCTTGCTCTCCGGCCCAAGGCCTGGTCCCACCCAGCTCTTGCTGGTCTTGCAGTCCCGTGCCTGGCCCGGAACTCGGAGCTGACTTGTGCCTGCTGGGCTGTGACCTGCCCCGGGAGGAAGTGGGTCCTGGGTTGCGGTGGAGTAGAGTGTGGGCTGGGTGATTGCTGTTACCCTGTAGATCGAGTTAACCAGGGTTGTGAGCTTTTTGCCTTTTGTAGTTTTGGGTTCAGGCTCCTCAAAAGAAGCTTTGTGTATATGGGAGGGGCCCATCATTCTTTTTTCTTTTTTTCTTTTTTTGGAGACAGAGTCTTGCTATGTAGCCCAGGCTAGCCTAGAACTTGCAGTGATCATCCTGCCTTAGCCGCCCGAGTGCTGGGATCCCAGGCGTGAGCCACCGCGCCCGGCTGATTAAGAGCTGTCAGAAAGGAGACTGCCCAGTCCGTGCCTCTAGCTCTGTGAAGTAGACTTCTGCTGCTGGCAAAGTCGAAACACGTGGACCCTGTGGTTACAGAGAAATGTATCCATGGAACATTTAAATGAAGTTTTGTCCTTTGAGAACATTTTTGAGGGTGCTTTCAAAGCCAGGAAGCAAGTTCGTATACTCCCCGGCACAAGTGTGTGCTATAGGCGAAAACTGAGCTCCTCCCACAAGCTTCCCCTGACTTCCAGAAGCAGAAGCTGTGTTTGTATTTAATAAAAAACCCAGCTTGTGTTGCCACACACAGTGGAGCTCTTGGTGCGCTCCACAAGCTCAGAGCGAAGCAGGAGGCACAGCCAGCGAGATGGTGCCCGAGCCTGGAGGGGGCCTGCTAACTTTCACCAGCCCTGGAGGAGCTCCTGGGCTGCTGGCTGTTTTCATTAGAAACTGGTTAAAGCTGGGCGTGTTTGTGTACTCCTGCCATCCCAGCACTGGGGAGGCTGAGGCAAGAGGATCTTGGTGAGTTTGAGGCCAGCCTGGGCTACATAGTGAGACCCTGTCTCAAAAAAAAAAAAAGTTCAACATTATATCAAAGGGTAAAATTTCCATGATGAAAGATCATATCTTCCTATAAAATTCTTGATGAAGAAAAATTCTTTCTGTTTAAAAAATTGAGACAGGATCTCATTGAAAGATTCGTTCTGTTTAAAAAATTGAGACAGGGTTCAGGCTGGTCTCAAACTCTTGGTGATCTCCCTGCCTCAGCCTCCCAAGTGCTGGGATTACAGGCGTGCACCACCACACCCGGCCAAGAAATATTATTTATTGGTGTAAAATGTGTATATAAAGTTCAGCAAAACTCTTAAAATGTTATTTTGAATTAAATTAATTAATTTTTCCTTTTCTTTTTCTAGTACTGGGAATTGAACTCAGGGCCTTACGCTTTTGAGGCAGGCGTGGCACCACTGAGCTAAATCCCTGGCCCCCAGTTAATTGTTTTTTGAGACAAAGTCTCTCTATGTAGCCCAGGCTGGCCTTGAGCTCACAGCTATCCTCCTGCCTTAGTCTCCCAAGGGTGCTTTGAATACAGGCTTGTGCCACCATGCCCGGCCTATTTTAAATTTAAAAAGTGCAAATTTTACTTTATTTTATATATCTAAAAAAAAAAAATCAAAAACAAAACAAGATGTGGATTTGGAAATAGAATTAATACATTGTAAAAATGATCTGTTTCAGGGGCCGGGTATTTAGCTCAGTGGTTCCACCACCTGCCTTGCAAGCGCAAGGACCCAAGTTCGATCCCCGGTAAACAAAAAAAAAAATCTGTTTTATTTATTACTAGAAATGAAATAAGCATTTTGGTAGAACATAGGTAGAAATACTACTTTTTCTTAATTTTTTTTTTTCTTTTGGTACCGGGGATCGAACTCGGGTCCTTGTGCTTCCATAGCAGGCAGCGAAACCACTGAGCTAAATCCCCGGCCCTACTTTTTCTTATTTGAATGAAACAGTCATTTGAATTCTGTCTTTGGAAGGTGGGCATGGTGGTGCATATGTAATCTTAGCACTCAGAAGGCTGAGGGAAGATGATCACTGCCAGCTCAAGGCCAACCTGGGCTACAGAAGGTCCCTATCTCAAAAGAAAAAAACCAGAAAAAAAAAAATCCGCTTTTACAGAAGTGGGCCCTGCAGGAGAGGGATTTGGGGCTGTCCTGGCCTGCCCCCCCCAACATTGATCAGCGCTTAGTAAGTGCTCTGCTGGCTGAATGAACAGAAGGACGTTGCGTGGTCAGCTTGTGTTGAAATTTACTGCTGTCACACATGACAATGTCCCAGAGGTGGCTCTCAGTGACCCCCCCCCGCCCCCCCGTTTCCCCCAGCGGAGGGAAGGGCACATTTTTGGGCTACTTTTGCTCTGACTGATACACTTGGCTGCCTAACAAGCAGCAGAGAAGGAAGGGAGGTTCTCAGCGTCATCCCAAATGCTTGCCATTCCTCCCGATTTGCGAAATCCAGAGCTGCCGGTCTTTCGGGTTCACCAAGAGGTCGGCATCCGAGGCGAGAGGGGATCGCACGCAGGAGGCTCCCCGGGTGGTGCGGAGGGAACCCCCCTTCTGTGTACTTTACCCAGAGGCTTCTGTTTTGCTCCCAAGCGAAAAGCTGGCGTTTGTTGGAGAAAGTTCTCAGCTTATGTGTGTTTTGCAAAAAGAAAGAGCTCGTGTTGGCTTTAGTTTTGATTCTCCGGCAATCGCTCCTGCCTCTGAGCGGATTTCTGGCTCTGTGCAAGGCCTGCTCTGAGTGGGGGCTTCACGTTGTTTCTGTCTGAGAGGTGACTTCAGGACCATTCTTTGCGGCCTCTGGACTCCACCTGGCTCTGCTTCTGTCCGTTTCTGTTCCTGCGTGGGACGGCAGAGTCCCCACCTCTGGTCCCCAGTGTTGTCCCCGGGAGCTGGGGGTCCTGCAAGGGCCAGGTCGGCTTTGGGAGGGGCGGACACAGCGTGGGTGACACCCCCGCACCCCCCGCTGGGAGCAACCAGGGCTGTAGAGGGCAGAGCCCGCCCGTCGTGGCCCAGGCCCCTGCTGGGCATCGTTTCTGCCTCTGCTCCTCCCTGGGGTCCCCTTTGGCTTCGCCCCATGACACAGATTTGTGTCTGCATGTTCTGGAAACATCTGGAAGTCCTTTTCCTGTTGGTAAATCATGGCTCCTGTTAGATTTTTAAGGCCTTTCACATAAGTGGCTTCCTGTGTTGCCCGCCACGTGTCTGTGTGGCCCGCCACGTGTCTGTGTGGCATGGTGCCGATGACAGAGCCCTTGTGGACGCAGGCTTGCTTGGAAACGATGCCCTTGGTGCCCCTCAGGTGGGCTCCCTGCGAGCTGGGCCGTGTCCTGAGACTCATGGGCCCAGCTCGAGGTCAGGTGATGGCCAGGCTCACCATACGTTTGCCCAGTGGAAGGCTGGTATTTGAACCTGGGCAGCTGAGGTCCGGAATCCTGGTGTTTGACACCATGCCATACTCCTGGCCTTCGTGTTAGCAGGATTAGGAATGTCAGTCTTTTTTTTCAAAAAGGAAAAGTTTTCTTTTCCAAAATTCAAAACTAATACACACTGCAGGGAAAACTGGAAGCATGTTACATGCCTAAAAGCCGAAGTATGACCCTCATTCTGGGCCTGAGACGGGCTGTGGGTGCTGCGGCAGGGGACCCTTGAGTGCCTTGCACACTAACTCTTGCGCTTCGTGGGCCCCTTGGGCTGCAGTGGGATGGAGGGGGCTCAGGAGCTGAGTCCGCCCCGGTGGCAGGTGCAGGGCAGAGTCTGGACGGGGACCCGGGCTCCCGGGCACACTGTGCAGCTAGTCATACAGGAACCCCCTGGCACTCTGGGGAGTCGCTGGCATTCTGCTGAGCTGCGGGCACCTTCCCGGTGACACCTCGGCGGCCACAGGAGCCGCAGTGAAGCGGTGTCACCAGGCACCTTCCAGGGCCACAGAGGAAAGTGGAACCGACTCGGGGTGAAGGCAGAGTCGTGCACACGTTGTTTCAGTTCAGAGAACTTGAAACTTGTGGCAGGGATTCAGAGAAGGAAGTGGGGAGTCTCTTTCCTGCCCCTTTCTTTCCTCTAGAGAGGGGGTTAGGGTTAAAGAAGGAGGGGAGTCCCTGTCCCAGACAGCCGCCCCCCGCAGGCCCCGATCCTCAGGCCAGGCCGGGACACTGCTCTGCGGCAGCAGGGGAGGAAAGCATGGAGGACTCGGCCACCCCGCGAGCCCGGTTCCAGGCCCTGGGCCCCTGTGGGATGTGGTATGGGAGAGAGTTTGTGAGGGCAGGGAGGGCCGAATTCATATGGAAATTGAAAACTGGAGGGAACCTGATCCTCGGAAGCTGCTCTTTTCTCTGCCAGGCCAGGATCTGAGACCCAGCTGGGCACCCAGAGCCAAACCGCAGGGCAAAGACCGTGGAACAGGGAGAGAGGGCAGAGTCCCCTAAGCACGGTTCTTCTCTGTGGCGAGGCATTTCATTTTTAAAGATGGGCCCGGCCAAGGCGGTTCTCCTAGCTTCCTATCTGGGCGAGCGGGAGATTAGGAGGAACTGGAGAGGCCAGCAGAATCGGAATGGGTAGCCAGGCAGGAAGAGGAGAGGAACTGAGAAAAGGAGAAGCAGAAGCCCTTGGGCACCTCCGGGCCCCTGGGGAGCTTTGCAGACTTAGTTTCCAGTGAGTGCAGAAGTCACGACCTCAGCTGGTGTGGAAAATATTAACACAGCTCCGCATGAACAGCCTGTGAATACCCGGGTGTTCTCAAAACACCGGGGAGGTAATGTTAAACCCAGAGCACTCCGTTTAAGAAGACGAGCTGGTGTGATACCTACAGATCTCTCTCGTTTATTCATTTGTTGCTTAGGAAAGTATTAGCAGTGGCTGGATTGGTTGATCATTTATTTTTTGTTTTTTTGAGATAGTCTCGCTGCATAGTCCAGGTTGGCCTTGAACTCACGGTGATCCTCCTGGCTCAGCCTCCCAAGTCCTGGGTTTGCAGGTGTGTGCCACCATGCCCTGCTTGGATTGGTTGCTTGTTTATGGAACGTTGGCGAGCTGGCCTACCCCATTGCCTCTGAGGCCAGCCAGGCGTCCACAGGAACAAACCTCAGCCTGGGGTGGAAGGGACAGTTGTACCTAAGGGCGTCACTGTCCCAGTGCTGGGGAGCCGGTGGTTCAGTGAGAGAATGCATGAGAAAGTGCTTCAGAAGGACAAATCAGCCTGTTGTCCAGCGCTTGTCCCTCTCCCCAGGGAGCAATAGCAATCGTGGCAAGAACAGGGAATAAACATAGAATCTGCGGGTGAGGGGCGGCTGCTGGGAGCGGGCCCCTGCGAAGGTGGGGGCGCAGCCTGCAGGGAGACCGTGTGCCCGAGTCCACCTGGGGAAGAGGGCCCGGGGGAGGGGCACAGAGCCAGGATGGCCCAGCTTCCCGTGACCCTGCCCCGCCTTCTTGGGAAGTGCTGGCCAAGTCCCTGTCAGCCCTGAACCCATCCCGAGTCCAAAGGGCATCTCTGAGCCAGTTGAGAATGAGACGAGCAGTTCCGCCGAGTAGGGTAAACAGTGCACTGCCACCTGCCGCCCGCCTGCCTGCCGCTGCCGATGGCACCCTGGCTATTCACTGCTCGACCTTACTCGGTTTTGGAGCGATGCTGCCCTTCACCATGCCAAAGAACCCAATCTCGTTCGTAGCAGATTCTTGTGTAAAAATCAGTGTGGTGGGAGGAACGAAGTTTCATCAGATCACAAGGCAAATAAATCATCTTAAAATACAGTGCACACAGTGATCCCCATCTGCTGCTGGGGTGTGGGGGGGACACAAGCGTCTGTTCAGCAGCCCTGCCCTGCCGGCTGCTCCCCAGAGCGGAAGAGGTGTCACTATCTGATGGAGAAGCGAGGCACAGTGAATTGAGGGGCTCTGTGGAATGAAAAACCCATAGCCTGGAAACATGAGGGCCCCACGAGGGCCATGCGGAACAGCCCAAGGGACTCGGGATGCAGGGACTGCAGCAGATTTCAGTCTCTGGATGCAGCAGGCTCGCTCCGGGGTGTGGGTGTGCGGGAGAGCAGCCAGGATCGAAGCGCTTCTTCCTTGCTTTTCTGTCCTTGGCAGGTCTGGTTTGATTCACCATAGCAACGAGCATGCAGGGTGGGGGCCTCTGTGGGCTTTCTCGTCTGTGGCTGATGACCTGATTTTCGATGTGAACCTGCCCCTGCTGAGAATTTTTGCTCTGTGCCTTGTTCTACTGGGAAAATATCTGAACCGGGTGGTTGAGGGAGACTCCATTCTCTCCTGGCACTCTATCACAGCAGCAAATACCCTTCATTATTAGTGTTTGGAGGGCAGAACTGCTTTTTATGTTCTTCAATTAAAAGTGGGTCTAACATTTTCAAATGCAGAGGGATACTGGTCATTTAGGGTTGGAGGACAGGACCCTGAGCTGGTGGGAATGGCATGTGGTGGTTGCGATTGTGGTAGAAGTTTATTACTACCTGGGATAGAGGGACTTGGTTGCCCTGGGGTTGAAAGGATTAGCCACCCATCTGTTCACCCAACTTCTAGTTCAGGAAACTTCGGCAAGATTCTGAACAGATACCGTAACTCGCATTACAGTGACAACTCTTGAACTCTTGGTGGGTGTGGTGGGGCACCCCTGTCATCCCAGCACTGGGGAGGCTGAGGCAGGAGGATCTCTTTGAGTTGAAGGCCAGCTTGGCTGCATAGCGAGACCCTGTCTCAAAAAAAAAAAAAAATTATTTTTTCCAAATCCCAGTAGTGCATGATTGTAAGAAAGCACTACCAAGGGGTTCTTGGCACAGTGCTGAGTATTGGGGTGTATTTTTCAGCCATCCTAGAAACACCCTGATATAGATACAGAGCCATATCCTACCCATGGGTAGGTGACAAAACAGAGTGAGCAGTTTCTGCATTCAGTTGTCAAATTCAAAAACCAATGATCAGTTTCTCCTGAATTCTTCTGATCTAAGTTCCTAGGTGTGTTGGTCCTATCCCTGCAAGATGACTTTAGATGCTAGACAGACGAATATTTATTTCAACAGTCACCTATTTCAATATGTGTTTGGAAGAAAATCCCACAAAGCGAATCTCATGGTTTCTTTGATTAGTACTGCAGAGGGTGAAGTTAAATTCAGTGCAGTAGAAAAATATGTGGGTCAGATCAGAGAGAAAGAACAGATCGTGCGTGGTGGCATGGTGGTGAGTGGCTTTAGTGAAATGGCCGTGTCTAAGCGCAATTGCAGGTATATGTTCCCAGGCGCCCTTCTGCCTTGACAGCTTCTCCCAGGGGACCTGTGCTGACCCCATCGGTCCTGTTTAGTCCCTTAGGCCCCATCCCCGTCGTCTCCCCCTTGGTGGCTTGTTCCCTGGTTAAACCTCCCCAGCTGTCTACCTCAGCCATCTGCTGTTCCTGTCCCAGGCCCCCCCCCCCCGCAGATCTAAGAGGGGCCCAACCAGGCCCCCTGTGTTTGGGAGGGGACTGGACGCTGCGGGCTGTA